TTATACACTCACAAAATTGAACGATACACTCACAAAATAGGGAGAAACATTTATTGCAGAAAAGCTTCCAGATATTACATGTTTCTTTTCTGACATGGTTGGATTCACAAAACTTTCAAGTTCCATGAATGCACATCAAGTAGTGAAAATGTTGAGTGATATTGTGAATGGATTTGATTCATTGACTGACAAGTATGAATTGGAAAAAATCAAAACGATTGGAGATGCTTATTTCTGTGTTGGAGGATTGCATCAAGCCAGTGATCATGCAGAAAGAGTGTTGAGATTTGCCATGGAAACTTTTCGAGTGGTGAGAAATTACAATCACAAAATGATTTTGGAAATGATTGGTTCATCTGCAGGAAATGATTCAAATACTCATGGCTTAATTTCAAACTCTTCATCGAACAATAATTTAATGTCACCCACCACAACTTCAGCAACTGATCATATCATTCATCAAGTGGATATTCGAGTTGGACTCAACACAGGAGCTGTTGTAGCAGGAGTGATTGGAACGAAAAAGTTTGCGTATGATTTGTGGGGAGACACCATCAATGTTGCTTCTCGAATGGTGAGTATATTCTCTGAGGTGATTTATTTTAATGTTCAACATTATTATTTAAATAACAATGACATACACACATATAATTTTGAAATCAGGAATCAACATCATTGCCAGGACGAGTTCAAATTTCTCGTTCCACCTATGAGAGAGTTCATGATTTGGATTTACAATTTGAAGAACGAAAAATTGAAGTGAAAGGAAAAGGAGTCATGCAATCTTACTTGTTGAGTGACAAGGCACACGAACGAGCAGTATTGACCTCTCAAGAAATTGACGAATTGGCTGAAGAAAAAACGTTCGAGTAGGCACTCCAATTCTGATCAATCTCATCATGATGGTTTCATTCTTTGCATTCCGCTCCATTCCGAGACTTCCGATTCAAGCAATTCCGTGATGCACTAATTCCGATCTTCCTAACGCATGAATTTTTTTTTTAGCACATGCGCACTTAAATTCGCTCCTCGTTCGTTCAAATTTTATCAAAAGTGAAAAAAAAGACAACATCATAGCAGAGTCGTCAATCTCTAACAACAAGCCTTCCATAGAAACAAAATGTTCACCATTAACTTTAATATTTATGTTCCTCCATCCTCAATGGAGCCATCTTCTCCGCACTCGCCTCACTTTTCTCAACCACCAAATGCCAACTTTTTCATTCCCTTCTTTATTCCATTCTTTACCTCACCACAACAGTCTCATCCCAATGCCACTCCACACCACTCTCAATATGGCTCAGCCTTCTTTGATCCTCAACAATTCTTCCAAAACTTGGCCAATCAATCCTTCCAAAACTATCAACAAGATCAAATCAATAAGAAAACACCCACTACCCAACGAGCCATTCAGGAATTACCTAATTTTACGTTAACTCCTTTCCGAAAACAAATCATGAATGATCAATGCTGTTCTTGTTCCGAAGATGCTTCCAATACTCAATCATGTGCCGTCTGTTTATGTGAATTTGAAGAACAAGAAGTCTTGACACGATTACCATGTGGACATGTTTTTCATAAAGATTGTATCATGCCATGGATTAAGGATCACAATTCATGTCCAACGTGTCGTTATGAACTCGCAACCGAAGATCCAGAACGAGAAGCTGCTCGACTTAAAAACATGAAAGATCGATTTGGAGGAGAGCATGGTTGGAAAGTGTTTGAAATTTCGAATAAGATTGAAAATGTGTTGAATAAGGTCGATGAATTTGTGACGAATTATCAATGCAAAAAACAAAATCAGGTACATGTCACGAACGAAAATTTGGAAATTCAGAAAAATCAAGATTTGAGAACATTGCAACGATTGGACGGCGAATTGATGAATTTAACCATTGAATTGGATAATTTAGAGTTCCAAGACAATTCTTGGATTAAGAAGCAACGAAAAGCTCAAATTGTGAAAATTCAATCGATTTTGCGAGTCCTTGATCAACTCAAAGAAGAAATAAATAAGACCACAAATCGTTCTCTGTAAACTTCTTCAACAAAGTGCATTGTTCAAAATAATCCCTTCCGAAGTACACATTGTAAAAAATGTCTCTTATTGATCTTCCTACCGAGTCTCTCTGTACTATTTGTTCGTTTCTTATCGGAGAGCTCTTTGATAATGATCGTGATCGGGAGCAAGCAAAATTCAAACGAACTTCTCATCGGAAGAGTCATCAATTATTTAAACGTAGTGATGATCAGCATGATGATTATTTAGGGGAATTTGGAAACACCCGATTTTCATTGAATGAAATGCTAAGCCTCTTTTCGTTGAAATATTCCTGTAAAAAGATGTATCAGTTTGTGCATGAGAATGAATCGTTATGGTTTTCAGTGGTGTTTGAATTTCCCGGAATTTTGAATTATCAGAGTTGCGTGGAGAGATCCCGATTCATGGCAATGAGTATGATGGTTCCAGAGGAAGAATCCTCCTTCTCGGAACACTTTACCAATGCTCTAACTGAAAAATTTATTCCCGATATGGAAGATGACATTTTCAATGCATTGAACATGATAGATGTTTTATGTGATCGTAAAAAAGTGGTGAAGAGATTATGTTTGAATTATTCAGCAGAGGTTTTCAATTTTCCAAATGTATTGGAAAAGAGATTTCAATATTTGAATGATCCATCGACGGGTGATAGTGATCACACAGTACAACTATTTGATTGTAAAGTGTTATTAGAGTATTTCGTTGAGGCCTTTCCAAATGTTCAAGAATTGATACTATTAGAACGAGCAGGTAAGCTTGGAGCAAGACCAAATATCACGAGCTCGTTAGACATGTCGGTGAAACGATGGATGAATATGAAACATGTTGCGGTTGATATTGTTTTTGAAAATTGTGTTCAATTACTAGTTGCACACATGTCGTCATTGGAACGAATTACATTGATGAACAATCAAAATAATTTTGGAGTTTTTGTTGACATTTGTCGACAATTAATTGAAAAAGGAGTGTTCACATCTGAAAAATTGATTTCAGTGGATTTAGCAGGTTCCATAGATTCTAAACACTTTCACACCCTTCATGCACTATTCAAAAATTTCTATGGCGACCATGATACCAAGTACATTTCAAAATTTAGATCTCTCAATGTTTTGCAGCTAAGCCCTTCCCATGAAATCACAAACATTGATTTTACGGGCTTAATCTCTAATTTGGTAGAATTGACATTGGTTCAATACCAAAGTGCTGAAACACTTGATTTGAGCGTCTTCTCATTTACATCTTTGAAAATTCTGAATTTAAAAGGATGTATGCAAGATTTGATATTGAAGGGTATGCGAGCTCCTGTTCTTCACTGTATGCATCTTCGAATGTTTAACATTCCTGAACGTGAAACATTCGATTCATTGGCCCATTTAACTCTCGACAATTGTAAAGGAAGTGATGCAGAAGGTTGGTTTGCACAGCACGAGCGTTTACGTACATTTAAAATCATCACCTCAAACATGGTCCATGAACAAAGTGCAGAATTTTCGTTTAGAGATCATTCACACATAGAGTCCATTCATGTTCAAGGAGCTGAGAAGACGGAAATCATGACTTGTCACTCTCTTCGAAGCGTCCATCTCCAAAATTGCAACAACCTGAAACTACTTCTTCCTCACGTCCGTTTATCAAGTTTGGTGCTTCATGACGATGATGAGATCATGTCCAATCGTTGCGTATTGGAAATAGATTTGGAACACTGTGCCACATTGAACATGTGCTCCAACAACAAGAGAACATTTATGTTTCATCAAAGAACTACTGTGGATCATCTCATTGTGAAGAGTATGCATCATCTCGATCATAATCAATTTGACGATCTACTCACCAAACATACTTTGGCTAGATTCATTCAACTATCGAGTCGTGATCCCTTAACCTCAACCGATCGATTCCTACTGACCTTAGTTCCAGATGTGAAATCTATATGTGTGGAAAGAAAACAAGAAACGGGCAGCGGGTATGAAATAGCCATAGCCGAAACCACCCCACAATATATTCAAAAACTGACATCTTTGACCAGTCTTGAGCATGAGTCGATTCGAAATGTAGCATTCCATCGAGTATCAGGCAGCATCAATTGTGAAAATATTAATTTATTGATCTTGAAGAGCTGTACACAATGTGTAATCTCCCAGAAGACTTTTCAAAATTTGAGATATTTAACCATTTCACATGGAGGAGTTTCCTCACTCTCGCTTTCCTTACAGGATATGCCACTTCTTTGTGAGATTAATATTTCTCAATCGCATTTTTAGAAATGTTGAAAGAGTCTCCAAAATTTGTGTAGCAATCCTTGGTTGGCCCATGACTGGTCTTCTTATAGCTATTGCAGTTCTGACCTATTCTAAAAAGTGCAAAACTGAAGAACCAGATCTCTATTCCATGATTCATGCATTTCTAATTACACAATTAGTCACTATTCCATTGGTACTGGTGTTGGCCATGTGTGTATCATGTTGTGCTCAATGTTGTTGCTATAAAGGAAAGAATGTGAACAATCATTACAAGGACACCACTAGCCATGATCCTAGGAACGAATACTTGTTAATTACAGACGAGAATGATGAGAGTAAACAATGAGCATTGTTCACAGGGATCAACCAGCTTAATGTGGTGAATAAACCAAACCACCAAATTTCAGTGCCACTCCTTTGAAAAATCCTCCCCATCCTTCCAAGATCAATCAGTTTTAACCATGATCTCTTCTCACAAACCAATTGTCATTTTTCAAATATTTAAATACCTCCGCAATTTCCATTGTTATATAGATGCAAGAAGTCAAATATTTCAACGATTGGCAGTGAAGGCGTCAAGTATTACATTCAATATTATAAAAGGATCTTCAAACATAATTAACACCAAGATATGTCCATCACGTAAGAATGAACCTGCCAATTGTCAATCCTTCCGTTCCTTTACAAAAAAAAATTCTCATTAAGGTCAAAAAATGCGTGTGCCGCCAAATTTTGCTTCACCACAGCAAGACTTGGAGAAGAAGCAAAATGCAGCATCCTCCTCCTATCATGAATCGGAAAAGGAAAACCATCCTCCTACCATCCATGATGATTCCTTTCTTTCCATGAATCCAAGTCAAGACAACTCTCGATCTATTTCATCTCCAATTTCATCATCATTGACGCAATCGGATCGAAGGAATTCTTCGACCACAACGTGTTCGTCGAATAATCGAAATGATGAGAATCATCAGAATTCGAACGAATGGAACACATGTTTTTCGAGCTTCGATGAAAATTCTTGTTGTTCGAATGATGCTGATGATGATGATGGAACCACAACGTGTTGGAATGACGCTTCGAAAGGCTTTCGAAAGAATAATGATGGTTCGAAAAATAATCACACAAGTCCATCATCCTCTTCTGGCGCATCATCATTGGTATTGAATCATCATCAACGAGTGGTTGTAGTAGTAGATGAAACAATGTCTCAAGGGACGGAAGAGTTGAAAAAGAGACCTCGTGGAATTTCTTCCAATTTTGGTGAAGAAGATTCTGAAGCGATGAGTATGAATGGTGTTGGACATGATGATACTACAATCGATCAAGATGATTCGATTTGTTTGAGAAAAAGAATCAATCCTTTGAAAAGTAAAAGAGTCAAGAAGAATGACCATCCATTGACATCTGACAGCTCAGCATTCCAAGATTCATGGACCTTATATTCACTTTCAGACACTCCTCAAGAAATGATTGAAATTATTATCAGTTTTCTAGATGATTCTTCTCGTGCATTGGCAGCCTTGACCTGTTCCAAATTTCACCAAGCATGTGAAAATATTGTCGCTCGTGAATTTACTTATTATTTTCATCAAGAAAACAATTCTCTCATTCTTCCTTTGGCACAAGGTCCTGTAAGCACCAATGACATTGAAAATGTCCAAAACAAGTTCAACATGACTCTTCCATTCCTTTTGAAAATTTTTCTCACATTAACCGATGGAAGAGAGCCATGGCACAACACATTTATTCATTTTTCAAATATGATACGACCTATTCGAGAGTGGAAATTATTGAAACGAGATGTTTTACTATTAGGAACCACACTCGATTCCAATATTCAATTACTTGTCAATTCCAACCATGTCTTCTTTTTAAGGAATGTCACACAAAATTCATTGGAGCGTTTACACTTTAAAGATTGGATTCAACGAAAGAATTTTTCTTTTGAATATGTTCATTACAATATTGAGAAAGTGAATGAGCGCCGAGTACTTCCTTATTCATTGACTCATTTCAATTCAATACACCATGTTGTATGGCAAAGAAGAATATTGTGCGAAACATGTTGAGTCAAAAAGGTTTATTATTGAACTTTGTTTCGAGAGAGTTCATGCAAGATGAAGAATTGGTGTTATGTGCTGTGAAGCAAGATCCAATGGCGTTTAAAATGTGTTCACACCAATGAAAAGTAATGTACGAGTGGTGTTGGAAACTGTGAAAAAACGTTCGGACTTGTTACAACTCGCTGGAGAGTGTTGTAGAAACAATCCTGAAGTGGTATTGACAGCAACGGCTCATTGTCAAGATAGTTTGGAAAATACTATTCGATTTGCAGGGAAGGAATTGAAAGCAAATAAGGAATTCATGTTGAAAGCAGTTCAAGCTTGTAACATGGCGTTCAAATATGCTTCGGAAGAGTTGAGAAATGATCCAGAATTGGCTTTACTAGCTGTGAAAAAGAGAGGATGGATTTTGCAATATGCATCCAAATCGATTCGACAAATCGAAATTTTGTATTGCAAGCCATTCAATGGGACGCAAAGGCACTCAAATATGTCTCTGAAGTATTGAGACAAAATCGATCGTTTATTATGGAGGCCATTCAACGAAATCCTAAAGCACTTGAAAATGCTCCTGATACGTTTAGAAATGATCGTGAAATTGTTCGAGAGCTGTTCAACAGGATGGTCTCACCTTGGCTTTTGCTTCGAATGTGTTGAGAAA